TATTGAACATGATTGAACTGAACCTGAACCTGAACTTGACCAAAGTTCGGTTTCAGTTCGGTTCATAGGAACACTATATACAATATTCTATATTACTTTACAAAAAAAAAAAACTTTTGTTCAAATATTCAAAGCATTTTATTTCTTTTAAAATATTTGGATATTGTTAAACTGTCAATAATTCAATAATGTCTCCAAAGAGAACAATTAAACAAACCACCAAAGAACAAAAACTTGCAATGGTCATATTTGTAGAAAATCCAAAAAATCGATCTATTATCGATGGAAAAGCAGCAGTTGGTGCACCGGTTGGTGGGAAATCTGTAACAAAAAATGCAGGATTTGCACAAATGACATCATTTGTAAACAAATGCTGTAAAGATAGCCAGTGGAATGCTAAAATAGCAAATGGCCGTTGGTGTACATATAAAAAGATATATATGGAAACTCGAAAGTTAGCTAATAAATCTGGATGGGATTAACCGAAGAAGATCATAAAAAAGGGATTACAACTATAGAAGCTAAATTGGATAAATTATGTCCATATTTTAGCCAAATTGACACTATTTATGGAGAAAAACAAAATGTTCGACCTTCTTTTCTTGAGAATTTCGGATTAAATAATGAAGATAATATAAGTGAAACTTCGATTGGTAAATATAAATTTAATCTTTATAATTAATTTAAATTACTATTACAGTACTATTATTAATTATAATTTTATATACATAGAATCGAATGATATTCAGGAACAAAATGATAAATTACAATCTGGTAAATATTATATATTTAAAAATTCTATTTTGAATTATTTAAAATAAATACTTTATTTAAATATATTTATTTTTAAAAGATTACAGTGAGCGAAATGAGAAATCTTCATTGTCATTTATATTAGATGATATTAATTTGAATGATGAATTTGATGATAATTTATTAAGTAATAATTTTATTAATTTATATAAATTGTATATTTTAAATAATTTATATAAACAATAAATTTTATTTAAAAGATAATAGCAATGATTTATATGAAGATAATTTTAATAATAACGATAATGAAGATAGTTTTAATAATAATGATAATGAAGATAGTTTTAATAATAATGATAATGAAGATTTTAATAATAACGATAATGAAGATTTATTAACTGGTAATTTATTAAATATATATTATAATTTGAATTAATAAATTTATTTATACTAAAAATAATTTATTATAATAAAGTATCAAATAGTATTAAAAGAAAACAAATTTCTAAAGATAATTCATCAAAACGGCAACATTTATTATCATCATCTAAAAATAAAAATGCTAAAATTTCTGCAAAAGATATTTATTTTAATACTAAACAGCAAAGTCTTCAAATTGAACAAGAACGAATTGTTATTGAAAAAGAAATGATTGAAATAAAAAAATCTGAATTAGAGAAAAACTTATTAATAGAAGAAAAAAAACTTCAATGGGAAAAGGAGAAAGCTGAAATAGAAAATACAAAAATAAAAAAAATCAACAAAATAATATGTTATTAGAACTTATACGTCAAGGAAAATCTTTAACAGAAATTAAAGAAATATTTAATTTTTTTAAAGATTTGTAATATTATATTAAATACATATTTAGCATACAATATATAATAAAACTTTAAATAAATAAATTATATTTATCTATAATAATTATTCTTTTGAAGAACAAGATTTTGTATATACTTTCGCATTTTTTTTCCTTCTTCATTTAAATTACTATCTATTGAATTATCAGAATTTAAATTGATTTCATTTAAACTTTAATTCCAAATATCATTATTATTTAATGCTAAATTATAAAGAATAATTGTTGCATTTATTGTATCTAAAACAAATTTTAAATCTTTTTTTGATATAACTTGAGTTCTTATTCCATTTAAACATCCAAATCATCCTTTCCAAATTCCATTTACATGTTCAATTTTAACACGTTCTTTAGCAAGCATTTCATTAAAAAAAGTATTTTTAGAAATACTTGCTTGTGGTTGTTTATAAGAAGTTATTGTAGTTGGAGTAAGTTGATAACCACAATCTGCAAGCAAATATTCATTTTGACTAAAAAATTTGTCAACTTTATTAAATAATGGTGTAGATTTATATGCTGTTGAATCAGTAACTGAGCCTGGCCATCCAAAGTTTGCAAATCAAATATACTTTAAATCATCACAAACTAATTGTACTGTTAAAGCATATTGCTTTTTTCTATTATAATATATTTCACCATCTTCTGAAGGTTTGTATTCAAGTACAACATCAGTACCATCTAAATATCCAATACATCCTTTAAATCCTGATGATTGTTCTATTCGATCACTAATTTGTTGTCTTTCAAGAGAATTAGGCTATTGAACATAATTATTTCCAATTGAATTAATAGCTGTTATAATACGTTTGGTATATTTAACAACAGTACCAATTCCTAAACCCCATTGTCTTGCAAATCTTCCAACTGAAGCACCATTTCCATTACAACCTAATCACTCTAAAGCAATAGCTAATTGTTGCCAAACTGGCCTTTGTAAATTTTTAGACTTATTTAAAAAAACAGGATTATTACGAATAAGACCTTCTATATACCAGAATGTTTCTTTATTCACCCGGGTAATTTGCTTAAAATTATAATCATTATAATTAAGCAAAAGAATTTGAAAAAAATCATTGGATTTGATTGTTTCTCACGTAAGGTAAGGTATCGATCCAACTTTGTTACTTGCGCTAATTCAAAAAGTTCATCAATTTCTTTTTCGAGTTGTTTGGTGGCTTTAGTTTTATTTAAGTTGGCATTGTATTCATTTATGAGTAGTTCTAAAATTTCATTAATACTTTTAATTTGTTGGTTTCAGGATGAAATTTAAATAAAAAATATTAAATATGTTCAATTTAATAAGAATTTTATAAGTTGTGAAAAGAAATAATACAAATAGGTGTGTCCAAAGCCTAATTGAAAATAAGATCGGATTGATGTATTACTTATTTCAAAATAAATACATCACCAATTTCAACGTAAATTAGATTCCCGAATTTTAACTTTGAAACCCCCCATTATTGTTAATTACATTTTAGACTATATAAACATGAATCACCAAATGCACTGTTTAATTTGACATTTATATCCTTAAAATATATTAATTTTGAAAGTCTCTAGCAAAGATTCACAAACACCTTTGTTTTAAATAACTGACTATGAACATTCTTTATATTGCTTTGTACTTTCTTAAAGCATATAATTAATACAGTAATAAATAGTGGCGCCAAGAGAAATGTGACTTCAATCATTCAGAATTTATATGATTGAAGTTTCATTTTCTCTTGAAGTTACTTAAAATAATATCTAATATCTACTTGAACTAAATTAAGGTATAATGTAAATATAACAAATTTAAATATCTTATGTTTAATATATATATATTCGTTATATAATTATACTCACTATAGTAAATACTCAAATTATTCACAAAATTATCTTGACAAAAATGTCATTAAAATAAGTAATAGGAGGTTTAAAAAATTTTAATAGCAGAATATAGTTAATTAAAATATAACTACCTATTGTTATGAATATTTGTACTCACGCCTAGTGATGGGACCAATCATATAGCAAATCATACTAATATATATTTTCAATAACACATATATATACTTTTATAAAAATTTACTAGTTATTTGGCTATAAAATTTATATATATAAAAAAAAAATCCGGTTTTAATTCAGATATAATCTGATTTGATAAGTTTAAAATCGGATAATATCCGGATAGATATTTTTTAAAGTAGATATCTATTTAGTATCCGTTTAAGTATCCGGATCCAATCACTAGGATTAACATCTTTAGATAGAATACGTAAAGTAAGTGGGTCTGTTTCCTTGGTACCAATACCAAAATGGTCTGGGTACTTATTGTAATAGTAGTCAAGATCATAAGTATCCAGATCTTCTGTAATCAAAGTAGGCATTTTGATAAACTAGTAGGTAACAATATATATATATTATTACCTACTTACATTAAACTGTTACCTACTTATGAGAGTGACGAACGATTCACGTTTGCGTCGTCATTCGAGTGACG